CCCCCCAATGCCTCTGCTTGGATGTGGGTTCAGGGAATGGTTATTTTTCCAATCACTGAAGTATTGAGAGTTTTAACCTAGGTCTATACAGCTTACACCAATAGACTAGTTTGGGGCAAAAATAAGAATTAAAAAAGCTGATCCTGTTTAAACCATGGCTAACTCCGCTTCTGAAAGTGAAGTGGTGTTGGGGGGGGGAACCAGATCTAATGGGAAAGGAAGGGAAATACTGAAGTAAGGTTTTTTTTAAAGCAATGCCAGACAGAGGAACAGAATAGGCTGGAAGGAAGAGGAATATTGGAGGTTGTTAAAAGTAGATATTTAAACTAGTGACTTAAAGTAAATGACTTGCAGGATTAACTAGAAAGCAGTGACTTAAAGTAAATGACTTGCAGGATTAAGGCACAGGGATTCATCACTTTACCCTGAAATTTGGGGCATGCTTTGTGTTGTTTGATGGTTGTTTCTTCTTGTTGTGTGTGACGTTTACAAGGCCTTTGAGCATGTACAGAGTGGCTTTTGTTCCCCCCCAGGCAAGTTGACAGAGGGACTAATTAACGAGTCTCGTTTGAGTTCTAAAGAACTCTGATTAAAATATTACAAGCTGCTGTTCAGCCCACCTGAGGTTGGTGTTTAATTTCTGATGGTATGAGGTTCTGCTGGGATGCTGGACAGGTGGAGCTTTTGGGTATGGCCGCGGTGGGTTGAGGAAGAAAAAAATACTCTGTGTATGTTCATAGGTCCTGGAACCTTGCTACGATGGTGCAGGGGCCTAAGTTGAAGCTTCAAGTCAGAAGGTTGTGGAGCTGGTTTTTTAAAAGGAGTGGGAGTAAAACAAACCATCTGAAATCCCATTGTTGATGAAGCATCATCTGCCTCTGCGTCTCTCAGTTGTTCTGTGTTATAAGAGAGTGACCTGTGCAGGATCCGGTCCCTCCTTTCCTGCATTCAGGGCTAGAAAGGGTCTCTTCGGTGGCCCTACGGTCAAGGCAACAGGTGTGGGGCAGAGGAAGCAGGAGTGATTCAGCAAAGATGACAAGAGTGACTCAGCACTCCCGCTGGCTCCCAATTGATAACAGAGCAGCCTTGTTCTTCCAGAGGGCCATTCGTCACAAGGAGTTCGCATCCTAGCACGAAAGTCTTTGAATTGTAACTTTTGTCTTGCGTCCAGGCCGGGGAAATGGTTGACAACTTGCTACACAACCACAGACAGTGTGGGCTGGGAGGGATTCTAAGAGCTGCCGGATAGCTAGTTCAGTGGTTTAGAGCCAGAGGTTGAGAGTAGATGTGAGATATTCGTATTCTTGGGGGACACGAATACGAATATTCCACGTCTAGTTGGGAGTTTCATTCCCCACTGTGCCTCCTTGGCTGGGGCTGGACTTGATCCATAGGGTCCCTTCCAACTCTGCAGTAGTAATATGATGAGTCTTGTCGAGTTCCTCGGTTTTATTTTGGAAACAAGGCAGCCTTGCTTCTCACTTTGTAGCACTCTTGGGAGGGGGACCACCATGCGCATCGATAAGAAAAGCAGTGAAGAGTCTTGTGACATTTTAAAGGTAGTTTTATCACGGTACCTGTTGTTCTGTGCTGTTGAGTCTGACGTCTGGTGACCTAATGAATGGATGGCTTCCAGAATGGCCTGTCTTCAACAGAGCCTGCTTAACCTCTGTAAACTCAAAGCTGTGGTTTCCTTTATGGAATCAGTCCATCTCATATTGGACTCTCCTCTTTTCCCGCTCCCTACAATAAGGCCAGCATTATTGTCATTTCTAGTGGCTCTTGTCTTATGATGTGCTCAAAGCAGGACTGTGTCAGTTTCATCATTTTTTGCCTCCAGGGAAAGTTCAGACACGTTTTGTTCTACAACCCACTTGCTCACCTTTCTGTCGCTCCAGAGTGGCTGCAAACCTCTATTCTAGCAGCATTTTTCAAACCAACCATGAAAGCTGATGCCACAATAAAACTTTTTCCATATGTTTTTAAGGTGCTATAAGATGATCTACTGGTTCCCCTGTTTCATTCCAAGTGTAACTCCCCTGGGATCAGTGCATACCTTTGGGAGATGCAGGGTGTCCGTTTTATTCTTGTGGGTTAGGTGAGGTGTTCAGAATACGACAGGCCCAAGGACACACTAAAGGTTTCTTGGCCAAGCGGAATTTGAACTCAGATTTCTTAGTCTAATCCAGTAGTTCCCAAATTTGGGTCCCCAGATGTTCTTGGACTCCCAAGAGCCTTCACCACTACCTATGCTGGCTAGGATTTCTGGGAGATGTAGTCCAGGAACACCTGGGGACCCAAGATTGGGAACTGATGGTCTATAGTGGTCCCCTACCTTGGGCCTCCAGATGTTCTTAGACTTCAACTCCCAGAAATCATGGCCAGCAGAGGTGGTGGTGAAGGCTTCAGGGAGTTGTAGTCCATGAACACCTGGGGGTCCAAGGTTGAGGAGCACCTAAACATTACACTACACCAGTTCTGAATGCACATTTCCTCAAGATTTCACTTAAAAACCGTTGAGAAGGAGATAGTGACCAAGGGAAATAGATAGGGATTGAGAAGATTTATTGCCTTCTGCGTTTGTCAGATCATTTCATTAATTGGATCATTCAATGGACTTTAATTTCTCTATAATAATATCATTTACTATTTGCATTCCAGAGGTTTCAAAGTCCGACTTTCATGATCACAGTAATTCACAGGTGCCGAGGGTGTGGCCGTCCAGGCGATATTTATCGTTATCACAGCTCACTTTAACCCATAGCCAGCATAAGTGTCTAATCACAGCTCATGGGAGTTGTAGTCCAGAAGCAATTTTGAGATCTACAGATTCCCCTCCCGGCAGTCTTCTTTACTAGCAGTCTTGCAAGCTCGACCAGGGTTGTATCATAGTTTGGAGTGCCAGACAGAGGCTGAGGAGATCTGGGTTCAAATTCCACTCCACTGTGAAATGAACACGTAAAAACACAGATTTTACGTGTTGCTTTGATTTGTTTTTGAAACATAGGATCGCTTGAGTTTAGCTGCAAAAGGGGAAGGGATTTTTACGAGGAAATTTAACAAACAACCCTGTTTGGTCCACATTCTTAGAAATGTTTGATAGTCAGGTGACACGTGGGAAGGGACATGAAAGCTTTTACCTATAAATAGGGACACACCTAGAAAAGACCACATTGCTGGGAAAGGTTGAAGGCAGGTTGAATGAAAAGAGGAAGGCCAAATACGAGATGGTTTGATTCCCTAAAGGAAGCCATAGGCTTGAGTTTGCAAGAACTGAGCACAGCTGATGAGGACTGGACATTTTGGAGATTCCTTATTCCTAGGATTGCCATATATTGGCAGTGACTTGACAGTACCTAGGTTTGGGTTTTCAATTCTAAGAATCTCCATCCTATATTGCCAAAGCTGGAGGATTGGTCCAAACTTCACCTTCAAAGTTCCAGGGCTTCCCCTTCTGTTCCTCTGTCCTGTCTTTTGTTTCTTGGGCATTTAATCCGATTTATGTTTGTACACCAGGAATGTGGTGGCGCTGCGGGTTAAACCGCAAAAGCCTCTGGGCTGCAAGGTCAGAAGACCAGCCGTCGTAAGATCAAATCCACACGGCGGAGTGAGCTCCTCCCAGCTCCTGCCAACCTAGCTGTTCGAAAGCATGTAAAAATGCAAGTACCTTCCCACCTCAGTGGGAAGGTAACGGTGTTCCGTGTCTAGTCACACTGGCCACGTGACCATGGAAACTGTCTTCAGACAAACGCTGGCTCTACGGCTTGGAGACGGGGATGAGCACCGTGCCCTAGAGTCGGACACGACTGGATTACATGTCAAGGGCAACCTTTACCTGTGTTTGTACTTGGGGCTGAGTTGTAACTTGGAGAGTCAATCTGAGTCATTTGTGTAAACCCAGAGCTACTGCTAAGGATGGGAGTAATATTAGGGAGGTGTGGATGATGGTTGGTGTTATTTGTATTCAGAATAGAAAAGGAGAGGCTCTAATTATTCTGGACCTCTTCCATGGTCCCAAAAGTCAGACATCCTAGAACAGCAGTTTCCAATGTTGGATGACCCAAGTGTTCCTGGACTTCAACTCCCAGAAACCCCTGGTGCTGAAGGCATTTGGGAATTGTAGTCCAAGAACCCCTGGTTTACCCAAAGTTGGGAACCACTGTCCTAAAGGTTCTTTACCTGTGTTTGTACTTGCGGCTGAGTTGTACCTTGGAGAGTCAGTCTGAGTCATTTGTGTAAACCCAGAGCTGCTGCAGAGGATGGGAATAATGTTAGGGAGGTGTGGATGATGGTTGGTGTTATTTGTATTCAGAATAGAAGAGAAGGAGAGGCTCTAATTATTATGGACATCTTCCGTGGTCCCAAAAGTCAGACATCCTAGAACAGCAGTTTCCAATGTTGGATGACCCAAGTGTTCTTGGACTTCAACACCCAGAAACCCCTGGTGCTGAAGGCATTTGGGAATTGTAGTCCAAGAACCCCTGGTTTACCCAAAGTTGGGAACCACTGTCCTAAAGGTTGCTATAGATTGCTGCTTCTATGTGTGACTTTACAAATATCTACTGTTTCCTTGTTCAGCTTTCCCATTGATCCTTTCCCCATGGGTTTACTCTCATGTCCACCCTCTCCCGTCCCTTCCACAGGTCCCCTGGCTGGCTAGGTGGCTGGCTCCCTGCCTGGCGTCCCACCTCCATGTCCCACCTCAAGAATGTGGAAGCTCGGATCCTGCAGTGTAAGTGCCTGGCTACTTGAGAGGAGGGGTTCTCGGACTTCTGCTTCATGCATTGCACTGAGAAGTTTGCCAAAATTTCTGGGTCCCAACAGGAACAAAAAAAATCTGTGTAGTATGGGCTCCTTTGCAGAAAGGTGGAGGGAGTTTTCAAAAATTCACTAGTTTTGTCAAGAAATTCCAATAAATCAAAATAAGCCATTAGTAGTAGACAGCTGTACCAATGCCATTGAGCATTTCGATGATAACGGAGACTGTAAGACAAAATTATAAAAATGCAATAGTGTTTTGGGGAATTTTATTGATTCATTCATTCATTCCCTGTCCTTAAAAAGGAACAGCCTGGCTTCTCATGGGAGAGAGTTCCTGTATTTATAGATAGAAAATTCCAGGGTTTGGTCCTACTAAACTTACTTGTGAAGGTGATGGGACCAAAGGAAAAGCCTCATCTCATGATATTAAGACCCAGGCAGGCTCATGCAGGAAGATGTGTTTTGAGATAGCTTGTTTAGAGCTTTGAAACCAGTACAGTGGTGCCCTGCATAGCAAGCGTCCTGTTTAACGACGAATCCGCATAGCGATGCATTTTTTGCGATCACAAAAGCGATCGCATAACGATGTTCTCAATGTCTAAAAATCACATTGCAATGATTGGTAAGCGTTTCGCTTACCGATCTTTGCATTGCGATGTTTTAAAAACAGCTGATCGTTGGTTCCAAAATGGTCGCCAGAAAAAAATGGCCGCCTGCAGCGTTTCTGCGCGGTTTCCTCGCATACTGGCCGGCAAAAATGGCAGCCGTATGGAGGATTTCCGCATAGCGGTGAGTTTTCCCTCCATAGGAACACATTAAAGGTGTTTTAATGCGTTCCTATGGGGTTTTTAGTCCCGCATAGCGACAAATCCGGATAGCGACGATTTTTTTAGAACGGATTATCGTCGCTATGCTGAGCACCACTGTACTTTGAATTGTGCTCAGAAAGAAAAGTGTCTCCTAAAAAAAAGACACACTAACTAGCATCCCAAGCAAATTGTGATAACAGATTGCTCTGGTTCTAAACACACACGCACACGCACAGAGACTACATACAGACATATATATACACTGCTCTGTTTGGAACCATAGCAATTTGTTACCACAGTTTGCTTGGGATGCTAGTTAGTGTGTGTACTGTATATATAAATAGTGATGTTTTCACAGTAGGATGCCGTTGTTTATACAGTATTACCATACATATTGAGATGGGGGGAGGAAATAGAAGTGTCTACATCAGGGGTTTTAAACTCAATTTACCTGGGGGTTGCTAGAGGCAGAGTCTGCATGAGGCTGGGCCGCATCAGATTTTCCGCCAAGCGGAGCAAGAGCCCGAGGAAGCTGCCCAGGAGTTTCCTTAGCCGACAGACAGGTGGGCTGGCTGGCAGGGCTGCAGTTCTGGATGGAGGGTGCAAGAGGTGCTGTCTTGGGAAAGAGCCGGCGAGCGAGGCAAGGCTTTTTTAAAACTCTTGACAGCAGAGGATGTGTGGGCACTTTGGGGGGGCAGGCAAGGCGAGGGCCACAAACTATCATCTGGGGGGCCGCAAATGGCCCCCGGGCCGCATGTTTGAGAGCCCTGGTCTACATTGTTACTTGTTACATGCAAACAAGTTACTCCCAAAAATCCTGCTGAATTATTGGACTGGGCGTTAACTTTTTCATAAAAGTCTCATCCCAGTTCTCCACCTCTGGTTTAGGTAGGTCCTCCACCACGTTGCTTTTGAAAGCTTTCAGTATGTAGACCCTGGAGGCCTGATGCCTTGATGGGCTTTGTAGTATGTTTGGTTGGTAATGACTCAACTTTGGTCTCTCTCTCTCTCCCCTCTTTCTGTCCCTTTTTCCTTTTATCCCTTCAGGCCTCCAGAACCGATTCGTGGCCCGTTACGTCTCCCTCCCGAACCAGGCCAAGATCTGGACAGTGTCCCTCTCGCCAGAACGGCGCAAGGGCCACACGCCGTTGGTCATGGTGCATGGCTTCGGCGGAGGCGTCGGGCTCTGGATCCTTAACCTTGACCCGCTGAGCAAATATCGCCCTCTCTATGCCTTTGACCTCCTCGGCTTTGGCCGCAGCTCCCGGCCCCCGTTTCCTCGCGACCCTCAAGGGGCCGAAGAAGAATTTGTGAACTCCATCGAGGCCTGGCGTCAAGAAATGGGCATTCCCAGCATGATCCTGCTGGGCCACAGCCTTGGAGGCTTCCTGGCAGCGTCCTACAGCTTGCAGTACCCAGACAGGTGAGTCCGTGTTGGAGTTAACGAGTAGGAGAACATGCTTTCAGTAAAGGAAAGTCCCAGGGTCACCAGGCAGGACCCGGAAAAACACCTTAGAACTGTGTTTTCTAGCTGGAACTTAGAGAGACTGCAGAGAACTTAGAACTGCAGAGCTGGAAGGGATCCTATACATCATTGAGACCAGCCCCTGTCAAGAAGGCACAAGAGGGGAATCGAACTCCCAACCTCCAGCTCCATAACCAGATACCTAAACCACTGAGCAGATAAAAAGAGATGCATGTAGTTAAAGAATAATAAATTCAGGCAAACCAACAAGAAAGCTATTAAAGTAAATGCATTAAAACCATTAAAATCGACAAAGGAGATAAAGTGTATAGCAGGACCAATCTGAAATTATATGTTTTTAACTCCTTTCGTAATCATTTGGATGAGAAACAAATCTCAACAGGAGGACCAGCAAAGTCATGCCCATAAAAACCTCCCCACACATAGAAAACTAGTCCATGGGGGGGGGGGGGAGATTATCTCTAGTTTTCCTGCATGTATTGTGCCGATTTGGTCTACCGCCCTCTCTTGTCTTACACATCTTCTGTCCCCTAGGGTGAAACATCTGATCCTTGTGGATCCCTGGGGCTTTCCTACACGGCCGACCGACCCAGCTCAAACCCCTAACCCTCCAACTTGGGTGAAGGCTGTGGCGACGGTGCTGGGGCGATCAAATCCGCTGGCGGTGCTCCGTGCGGCCGGACCCTGGGGTGAGTGAGCGGTAAATTGTACGGAGATCCCGGAGGTTGACTGGAACGAGAAGATAGAAGTTGTTGGAAGAGTTTTTCTGATTATCAGTATTTTTAAGAATATTGTTCCAATATTATTAAGAGTGGCTTGCATGTCTCAGTCTGTTTTTCTAAGTGAAGTGACATTTGCATGGCAATCTAAGGATTTAGGAGGTTTTATATGTGTTTCCTGTTCAGAGTGCGTTCAAGGCAATTCTGACTTACGGGTTTTCCAGGTAGAGAGTAATCAGAAGGGGGCTTGACTTCCTTTCTTCTGGGGGGTGTCCTGGGACTGTGCAGTTTGCCCAAGATTACAGAGGCTGGCCTTACTCACAGGACAGTCAGGGGGGGAATCGAAGTCCCTACCTCTGGCTCCTCAGCCGGATACCTAAACCACCTTACTCATAGGACGGTCAGTGAGGGAATCGAAGTCCCTACGTCTGGCTCCTCAGCCGGATACCTAGACCACTGAGCTATTTTTGATACATCCATAGGGGCAGAGTGGGGGAAGGTGTTGACTTACCCCCCAAGTGAAAGGTGCTTCAAACATGTTCTGAAGCTTAATGGGAAGCTTGGCGTGAACCTACCAGTTCTCTCTCTCTCCTCCCTTCCAGGCCCTGGGCTGGTTCAACGCTTCCGTCCAGACTTCAAAAAAAAGTTTGCGGACTTCTTTGACGACGATACCATCTCGGAATACATCTACCACTGCAATGCTCAGACGCCCAGGTGAGAATGCTTGTTTCGAACCCTCGACTCTTGGAGGCGGTCTTTCCCCGCAGGTTGCCTTCCAGAGGAGTTTAGCTATAACTCCCATCATCCTCCGGCCACCAGGGCTGACTGGATTTTTGTGAGACCTAGGACCCAACACGTAAGAGTGCCCCGTTTAGAAAGCTGCCTTAAACAGATGTCGTGCTTAACCTATCAAAATCAGGAGTTTTCAAACACTGTTTTATAGTAGTGGTTCCCAACCATGTCGACTCAAGCCCGTGACTTCCTTTAGGAGTCAGTCTATCTCAGATTTGGCTTTCCTCTTTTCCTGCTGCCTTCCACCTTTCCCAACATAATTGTCTTTTCTAGGCAATCCTGCCTTCTCATGATGTGGCCAAAGTGCCAAAGTTAAGAAAGCCTCAGTTTAATCATTTTTCCCTCCAGGGATGGTTCAGGCTTGATTTAATCTAGAAAACACTGATTCGTCTTTCTGGTGGCCCAGAGTTTTTCAAAACTCTCCTCCAGCACCACGTTTCAAACAAGTCCATTATTTGGTCGTTTTAGGTTTTTTGGTCTGTTTTTGTTATGTGTGTATAGTAATAAAGGGGGAGATGATCTGCCACTGTGATTTATGGGTGTCATTAGCTAGTTTTCATGTGCAGTGATACTGGTCCATGTGGCTGGGTAGAGTTTGTTGACCTTTTTGTAAGCTGTATTTTTCAGTGCTGGGAGCCCGGCTTTGTTGAGTTTTAGACTTTCTTCTTTTTTGTTAAGCTCTGCTGGTGTTGTGGATTTCAGTGGCTTCCCTGTGTAGTCTAACATAATGATTGCTGGTGTTGTACAGTACTTCTGTATCCTGAAATAGGATTTTGTGTCATCTTTTTTTTTTTTTTTTTTTTTTTTTCT